CTTAGGAAGCTTAACAGTACGTCATTGATGTTAATCGGACCCTTTCAGTTTATTTTCTGGAACACCGTTTCCAAACATGCAGGGAAAAGTTTGGGGGAGATGGTGGTTCTTTGTCTTACGCTCCTCTACGGGAAGGGGAATCTAGGGGGTGTCGAACAGAGTGATTTCTGCCAAGGCACTAGGATGAACTCGACAGTGTCGAACCCTCTCTCCTAGTAGTATGGTTGTGCGCCGAGGTAGCTGAAACTCCCTCGCTCTTTCTAAAAGTTGACTTAAAGTAAAAATGTTATCCGCTGTGCTGTAGCTCCTTTAGAAATCTTGCCTGTTCTCTTAGCTGCTGTTTGTCGTGACTTGTTAACAGTCTGTTGGTGGTGATCTTAGTGAGCAGCCTGTAAACATGTGATGACCGGTTTGGGGTTAGGCGATAGTTCTTCAGATCTCCTTCTCACCCTTCTTGAACAACACTACTGCTTTTGACTCCTTCCAGCTTGACGGCATCTTATTCGCTTCCAAGTAGTAGCTGGATCTCTACGTTATAGCTCTACACACCGCCTGACACCCTGCTCTGACCATTTCCGTTATCAAACCGTCTCTCCCTATGGCTCTTCCTTCGTTCATTTGCTGCGAGGCATTCCGAAATACGCTATGATGACTGGGAGCGCACTTTTGGAATGACGGTGGGTGAGGGAGAGGTGCATCTTTGATTCAATGAACTGGGTACAAATGTTCTTCCAGACTGATTGCATCTCAGCTCTGTCACAGTTAATGCGCCGTATCCGCTCTTCAGGGCCATTATGGCTGACTGATAAAGCGGTAACTCTATCCTTCATAATTTGAGGCATTTGGGGTCATCGGCTGCATTCTCCAATTTTTTCAATCGCAAGCTCACGAAATCATCCTTCAACTTCTACCTAATGAGCATGCAGAGAAAATAGTATTCAATCGTCTCGGTCTCATCTCCCTTCTTTTCCTCCTCAGCTCTCTATCAAACTCTTTGCCTCTTCTGACAACTTTTCTTCTCTGTCTCTGATGTTACTACCTAAGCTGACTTTACGCGAACTTCTCAAGTGCCGTCGTA